AGGCCGGCCGCGGGGAAGCGGAACTGGCGCGCGGCCGTGGACCCGCCGGCGCGGCGTTCGGTGGCCGGGAGCTGGAAGCCCGCGCACGAACCTCCGGGCTGCTCCTCTCCAGGTGGCGGGAGGCCTCCCGGCGGCCCGGCTAGTTAGACCCGAGGCCTGGGGGCGGGTCAGCGTCAGGAGCTGGGAGGACTTGGCTAGTTAACCTTTAGGCTGTAACCTTGATAACAGGGGGATGTGCCCTTCAATTATACTTGAGTATGAAAGCAAGGGGATGATGCCGAGGAAAACTTGCTTATTGTTGGAGAAACCGTCTCTAACTTTCCACCCACTGATGACATTCAGGAAAGTGCAACGAGAAATGGTCGATTGTTCTGAAGTTCATAGAGTAAATGGTAACTCAGCTGACTTCTCAACGCTTGCCTTTCTAAGGAATTGGAGATGGTATCTCTGACTCGGTTTAAGTGTAAAATACTTATGGAATGTGGCAGTCCAGATAAAATTCTTTATCTGTAGTACCGCATACAAAGAAGGGAACTCTGGTGGGGAGGGGTGGGCAGGGAGAAAAGTGCGGCAATGAATGAATGGAAATCCAAAACCTCTGTAAATGTCTGTTAAAATTAATGAGAAAAAAAAGTAATGAATTGGGTAAGTCATGCCTTAGTCCTCAATGAGATGTCACGGTTTATTTAGTATTTTATTTGTTTTAATGCTTTAAAGAGTTTGTTCCGTTTTGATTTTTTTTTACTAAAGACTCAATAAAAACCAAAATAAAAAAAGGGGGGGGGAACTCTGTTGTCTAGAGGGTAACCTGGTGCAAACGAACCAAAAAGTTGAAGGTTTAGATCAGTTCAGAGGTCCCTTGGAAGTTAGGATGGGGGGAGGGGCTCAATCAGCCTGAAAACTTCATAAAACAGTTCTGCCTGGGGTCAGTCACCTGAGTGAATCCCTCTACAGTAGCTGCACTGGGGCTCCTTGACTGGATCTCCTTGGATGGATCTCTGTTACTGGTTGAATTATAACACAAACACACACAAAGATTTTAAATCCTAAATGCCTATACTTGTCCATGTAATCCAAACTGGAATAGGATTTTGAGACTACGGTCAAACATTTGAAGTACTTTTTAAAGCCGTTTAGAATTCCTCACAACCAGTGGCTCCTTCTGTTATCTTTATTTTTGCTCATTCATTGCAAACAGGTTCTTCCTGGAGAGGATGAAACCAGTATGCTCCTTGGAGGCAAAGATCCTGATGCTCAATCTCACATACTTTGGGCATGTCACCTGGAGAGACCAGTCCTTGAAGAAGGACATCATGCTTGGAAGGGTGGAGGGACAGCGCAGGAGAGGAAGACATTGGATGAGATGGATTGCAACAGCGACAATAAGGTCAGATGTGCCAGAGATGGTGAGGTTAGCTCAGGACAGGGCAAAGGTTCAGAGCCATTTATTCATAGAGTCGCTAAGAGTCCTCATCGACACAATGGCACATAACAGCAACAACATTGCTGTTGAGGCTGAATTAATAGCTGACCTTTCACTGGGTTTCCAAGGGCCAGTTGATGCGTTTAAACCACCTATAGGTTCACAGCATCACTCTGTAAGCAACAGGCTAAGAATTTAAAAAAGCAAATGACAAAAACCTCACTGTAATTGAATGGACTCTAACTCATTGTGATCCCCTATCAGGTTCCCAAAGCTATGAATTATAGAAGGTGATTGCACATCTTGCTCCCATGGAGTGGCTGGTGGATTTGAACTGCTGAGTTTACGGTTAGCAGTCCAATACATTACGTACTGTCCAACCAGATCTCCTTTGTCTTAGAAAAACAAATTTACTTAGATGTTGAAAATGCTGATGATCAATCACACTGTAGTTTAGTGAATTGTTTGCAAAGTCTCTGGGTGAGTTATAAATTCTACAACATCCTTTTTAGATTGTGCAAGTGTGAATGCATGCTTTGTTCCGAGGACTCCGACTTGCTTGAGAAATTTTAAACAGATGGTTCTGTGCTTTTAGTCTAAAGGAAGCAACCTGTTATCATTTCAGGCATGACTTCCAAATGGCAAGCAAGTCCTTATGCTGACTCCTTTGCTCCAGGTAGGGGTTCGCTGCCCTCAGAGTTACACAATGCGGGGGGCCTCAGGGCAAGAGTCTCTGCTGAAGCAGCATGTATGACACAGGTCAGAGGTCAGAGGACAGGCAGACTTGCTGCTTAGGGAGGGAGCTTTGGTTGTTTCATCAGGATTTCACAACACACTGACTAATGATACTGACAGTAGGAAAAATTTTACAAAAATTACCCATGTTCTGATGTCATGTGGCTCTGCTCAAGTTTACTGAGTCAATTCTAAGTTGCAGACATCTGATCAGACAGAGGAGAACTGGCCCATCGTGTCCAGGACTGTAGTCTTTACAGAAGTCAGTGGTTAAGACACTCCTATACCTTTTTTCCTGCATGGCAGCAAGGGGATTCAAACCAACAACCTTTGGGTTAGCAATCAAGTACTTTAACCTCTCTACCAAGAAGGGCTCCTTATCTTAACTGAAAATGTAAATCGGTATTAAAAACATAAACCATAAAAACATAAACATATGGTTTATGTTTTGAAATGCCTATTCAAAACTCAAAAAACATGAACGCATTTTCATGAATGAGAAAGAAAAACTGCTTTGCAACTGTACTGTTGTGGTGGGTTTTTTTCTTTTTGTGTGTGTACTGTCAAATCGGATCTGACTGGTACAGGAGGAGATTGTCCCTCCTTCTCCAGCAGAGCATCTGGTGGATTTGAACTGCACATCTCTGGGATTGCAGGGAAGCTTCTTGCCACTAGGACACCAGAGCTCACCACAATTGTACTGTTTCAATGCCTATTCAATATCCTTCAAGATTGGTGAAAATCTTTTGAAATTTCCCTCAATTTATTTTGAAAATTCCCTCAAATCTTGTTATTATTTTATCACATCGGGTAGCGATAGAAGCTTCACCATCCTTGTTTCTATGAAGCACTCTGGCTTCACTTCTTCTAAGACAGATTTATTTGTTCTTTTGGAAGTCCATAGCATATTCAGGCATAAATTCTTCTTTGATCTTCTTTATTCGTTGTCAGATTTCCTCTTATGTATACTGTTGTTGCTATGTGCCATTGAGTCGGAGCCGACCCATAACTGATCCTCCAGCAAGTTTTCAGAAGCTGAAATTGCAAGGGAGGAGATTATCCATCCTTCTCCTGGGAAGCAGCTGGTAGATTTGAAGTGCATGCCTTTGGGATATGAAGCACTTGAAAATTCCATTGCTTGGGTCAGGTACACTTTAATCTTTAAAGTGACCTCCTTGTTCCTTAGCAATTTAAAGAGGTCTTGCATTAGATTTGCCTAATGCAATATGTATTTTTATTTCATGGCTGCTGCTTTCATGGATCCGTTCCAGATAGCAAATACCAATCAATTTCAGTTTATTAATCCCTAGAATATCAGTCTTCAAATGTTCCATTTTATTTTGACAACTTCCAACTTTCCTGCATTCATGCTTTGTGCATTCCACATTCTTATCATTAATGGCTCCAGAAATGAACTAAATACCAACCAATGTATTTAAACAAATGGATACAGCACTGGAAGCACTCAGTCCTCCAAGGCAAAGAATTTAGAAGGCAGTTAACTGGACAATTGACTGGAAGAGATCCCTATCTGTGCCTGTTACAAAGAAAGTTAATCCAACAGAATGTGGAAATTACAGAACAATAGCAATATCATGTGTCTGTAAAATCTTCCTGACAACAATTGAAAAGTAGTCAGAGCAGTACACCAACAGGAAACAGTCAAGGTGGAATCAGAAGAGGTTGTGGAAGCTACGCTGCAATCTCAAAGGCACTCGGTTCAAAGCCACCAGATGCTCCACTGGAGAAGGAGGGGCAATCTCCTCCTGTGCCAGTTGGATCAGATTTGATGGTACACAATAAGGGGGGGGAAGACCCCAAAAACAAAAAACAGAAGAGGTTGTGGAAGCAAAGATTTTATTGCTGATGTCAGATGGATCTTGACTGAAAGCAGAGTACCAGAAAAAAAATTTACCTGTTTCATTCAAAGTGCATAAGATTATGCAAATTATGGATAACGTTAAGAATGGAAATTCTGAAATACTTAATTATGCTCATGCAGAACCTGTACAAGGACCAAGAAGCAGTCATTTGAACAAAACAGAAGAATGGGCTTGAGCAGAGCAGAGATTGTGAGGAGGCTCAGGATGGGGCAGGGGTTTGTTCCATTTTCCGTAAGGTCTACATGAGGGTCTATATTAGTCAGGGCTCACTTGAGAGCACGTGACATCAACAAGTTGATACTGCATAGGATAACATCAAAACCTATCCACTCTTTATGTTGAGAAGCTAGACTGACTATATGAAAAAGAATGTGACATTAGGATTGGAGGAAGATTCATTGACAACCTATAATATGCAGATGACACAACTTTGACTGTAGTAAATGAAGATGAGAAGCACTTATGCATAAGCCTCCAGGACAGATTACATCTCAAGATAAACACAAATCTTCACTTCAAAACTGGACCAATATGCAACAATATGATAAATGGAGAACGCTCAAGTAGTTGACAATTTCATGTTTGTTAGTTATATATAATCAATGCCGATGGCAATAGCAGTCAAGAAGTCAAATGACTTATTGTATTTGGCAAATCTGCTTCCAAGGACCTCTTTAAAATGCAAACCACCAAGGATGTCACTTTCAACTTTAAAGTAAACCTGACCCAAAGCTAAATATTTCAGTAGCCTCATATGCATGTGGAGAATCAGGAGTGGCATCCACTACCTAAACTAGATGTCTCTGGAAACTCTACAAACGCTCTAAACTCTGTAATTGTACAGAAATTATGTTAGTTATGGAACAGAGTCCAGGTCTCGTGTGCAAAGCTTACTCTGAGTTGTATTCAACTCAATGACAACCACTGCTAAATGAGTTCTGTTATATCTGGAGGAATACTCTTCCACTTTGCACATCACCCTTTGTCAATGTGCAGTAGAAGTAATCTGGATTTGCTCTGATGCTGAACCTTGTGCCATTGGGGTATCAAATAACATAATGGTTTCCCATTGTGGACAGTGCTTGATGGAGCTCCCAG